TGTGAAAACTGTAGCTAAATATTCTAAACCTACTATTAAGAGCTAGACTTACAAAATAATTAAAGCTACAATCTTTCCAAAGTACGATGACTCCAATATTCTACAGTTAGACCTTCTAGCATAAGAAGTAAACGCATTACCTGTTACATTTGTTCATGTACCACCGTACGATAATTGTAAAACACACACAAACCAACATAGACAAAATGCAAGGGTGAGCTTACGAAATAACAATCACGATCATAAAAGTAGAATATGAATGTAAATGTTTATACAACTTATTATTTCAATATTTTTCAACATATAATGGAACAATGTAGTCCATTTAATGCAAAATGCAACAGCTCAAATCAAACTGGTTTCACAACTCTAGTAATCCAGGAGGAACTTACAATTTTCTGGTCTAGGAGCAATCCTTTCTAGTACTTAGATCCAGACAAAGCACAACTCAACTCAGCATGTTTCTTAATCATTACATGCTTACGCCCTCAACTTGGCCTCAACTAGGCATATTTTCTAATTGTTACATGCTTACGCCCTCTAAATATGTGACTCGACCCTAATATAATGATATTTCATACAGATGCAACACAGCCATATCTTAAGCATTTCAACACATTATTTGACAACACTTATCCTCATAATTACCTGAGCTGGCCTTATTCACTTACTAAATGCTAAGATGTTTATATGTATAATTTTGTCTTAGTTAAGAATAAGTTAGTGCATAAACAAACATCAGGGTAGAACTCAGAGTAAGCATGGTTGAGTCGATTGACTGTTGTTGATGGATGTAATGAGCTCGATGTGTGTGATGGAGTTTTCTATTGTTCTATGAATAGTATGAAATTGTTTATGTTTGAGATAATTGTTGAAATGTTGTTGTACAATGTGCTAAGATTGATTTTCTTAAATTAGAATCTTCGTGAGTTCCAAAGAGAGGAACAAAGCTCCAAGTTCTTAGATCTCCCTATTATCATGAAATAGATATCCTTAAAACGAGAAATCAAGGAAGAAAGGGTAGAATAGGGAAACCAAATCCCAAGAACTCATCTAGATCCGCACTAAGTAGATGTTCTCACTTGGATGGGGAAGAAGTTCATCTTTAAAAAGGTTTTCTCTAAGGGAAGGAGAGAGAATAGAGAGAAAATGAGAGAGAAAGGTGGTTTAGTGAAAAATGAAAGTTTTTAGCTCAAAATCCCCTTAAATACCCTCAAACTTGCGACCTTCTTGCACAGCGAGCAACTCTCGCTACAACGAGATATACCAGACAATGAATCCTTTCTGCTATTTGTCATTTTTGCTGCAGCAAGAATCCCCTAGCTTTAGTGAGAATTTCTTGCTCCTACAAAAGTATTTGTCGGGTCAACCTTATCCACTTCTCACTGCAGCGAGAACTTCTCGTTGAAGTGAGAGCACTCCGGAGAGTCTAATTGTAGATAACTTGTCTCGCTACAGTGAGAGATATTTCACTACAGTGAGACATCCTACAGTTTACACAAATTAAACCTTACTCAAACCAAACAACATTCATCCTAGTAATTATACAACTCACATATACATAAATCCAAACCATTTTATACCATTATCAACATACAACATCCAATTCAAAATACAAAAACATCATAATTAAATGCTCACAACATCATCTTTACAAGAATATATATATATATATATATATATATATATATATATAATATAGGCCTGACAACTTAGCCTCATTTTAACCTTATAAAAGTCCTCATGATAGGTAGTTACATGCACATAAATGATGAATATCTTAGCATATTATCAAGCCTATAAAAGTTAACTTTAAACTGAAGGGGCAATTGTAATAGTGTCCTTAAACAATTAAGAGTGGGGTGAGTTTATGTCCTCTTTAAAGCATTGCACACTGTATTTTTGTAATGAGATTCAAAGTGAATTTAATGAAATTATTCTAGAAGTGATATTGACTTGTGATTTGTGCAAGGTTCGACAATTCTATACCAATAAGAAAAATAATTTAAAACACTAAATCTTTTGATGAACTTTAATAATTTGCTTAAGAACAAGCAAAAACTTTTATGTTTGAATTTGTTAAATTCACATTCTAAGTGAATTTATATGGCTAATTGTGCATAAAAGTTAAATATTCAAGAAAAGAAATACATATCAATGAAACAAAAAAAGTATATTTATGCATAAGAGCTTATTGAAAGCAAAAGATGAGAAATATTAACATTTAACCATAGAATATATGATTCATTATGTGTTTTCAAATGTAGGATTAATAGGAAGTAAGGAAAAAGACTATAACACAAAAGAACAAAGTTGAAAGTAGGAGTTGGTTTTTCATGCAACACGTTAAGATATCATGTTTTTAATGTACTCACTTTTTGGATTTAAAAATCTCACAGAAGGCGCAAGTTGTGACATGCACTTTTTGATGTCTTAACATTCCAACTCATGGAACATTCTAGAAGAATGCGATTGAGACATCACAATTTCAGTGTTCCTAAATTATGTTTGCAAAAGTTTATTTACTATGAAGTTGCTTAATTTAGGGTCTTTTGTCAATTTTTCATTTTCTCACTTTAAGATTTTATTTTCATTTGAATTTTCTCTGAGTTAGGATTCAAGGTTATATGAAAACTGAGTTTGACATTCCAATGAAGATTTCCTCCATTGCTATCTTCATATATTTTTCATTTTCTTCTTTCTTTGCTATCTTTCTAATTTTCTTAGGTTAGAATAGGATTGAATTTTAATTTGAATCTTACGTAACTTTGTCTCATCCAATCTTAATTCAGATTTCATGATCCAATTGCATTGCTTAATACTTCATTGAATTAGTCAGTCAAATGCATACATGATTCAATAAGATTTTCACAATTGAAAATTGAGTAAAATTCTTGAAAATGAAGAAAATAATTCAATATTCTGATTACTTACGAATAAGGGTTAAAAATTGTGTGGTCATTATCGACTCTTATGTTTAATGTTGTTCTTGATTAAATTTATCTGACGAATTTTGATTAAAAAATAGTGTAAATATAACCAAAGATTTAGACTCTAAATACTTTTATGAATTAGATAGTTCAATTGAGTTGTAAAATATGAATTAAGGCTATTCATTTTGCATAAGGTTAAAATCAATAGGATTATGATTCCTAGCCATTATGTCTCTAAAACATTCCATTATAATTGTGTCAAATTTAGAGATTTCTAGTTATTATTTCACATATTCTTACTTCCTAACTCTATCTCTACAATATAAATATAGAAAAATAATTTATTAATTTGTTTCCTTTGATAATTTATTTGTATTATTAAGCATAAATTTTAATCCTTTATAATGATACTCTACTCTTATTTAATTTGTATTACTTCCTATTATATAATATACTCGTTACTCATATTACTTCCTATGATATAATATACTCGTTGATTTACAGCTATGAATCTTTAAAATAAACATAAAAAGTTAAGAACAACTTCATCATTGTATGTGATGGTGGAGTTGCACAGAGATACTAGGGTGGGCGAGTGTGATTGTGGCAATTCTTAAGCTTGAGTTAATGGCAGAGAAATTTAGATTCATTTATGAATGAAAGAGAACGTAAATTTAAGATACAATTTTAAATTAGTTGTTATTTAAGTTGATTTTAAAACTAGTTTTTAAATTGATTATGAGCTTGTTTGGGTGAAGTTTTAAAAAAGTATTTATAGAAGAAAAAAGTTAATATAAATAATAAATGAACTTTCATTCATAAATTAAAAACAATTTATCTCTTTAAATTTTAGAGAAGAGAAATGAGAAAGCTTCTTGGAACTTCTCAAAAAATAAAGAAATATAAGTTATTTTTAACTTATGAAAGAAATTTTATTAAGTATTTATATTAAATTTTTTTTATCTTATAATGATCTCTCTAAAAATTTATTCAACTAAAATATATAGCTTAAACTAATTTAAAAATACTTATTAAATTAATTATTTAGCTATCGGTGATAATTAATTAAAAAAAAATTATCACATTAATTTTTACATTGGTTCTGTTATAAGTGATTAAAATGTTTTAAAATCACTGTTTGCTACTAGTAAAATTAAACTGACTCATGCATATTAAGTTAAATAGTATTTTAACTGATGATCTTCTAAGTTGGGATGAAATTGACAAACATTAATACGTAATTAAGTTTGAAATGATCAATCATTATCGTAATTTAAAGAATATCGTTTTTGATTAACCAATAATTATAGTTTTAAGGATTGATTTGGTTATTTACTAAATTGAAAATGTGGAAGGCACTTGCCACGTTACAAGAGAGTCGCTTTGTGACAGCGTTGAACTCTGAACTAATTAATAAGCAAAATATGAATTGACCAGAATCTTCAATAGCACCAAAATATGAAGTTTATAGGTGATGAGTCAAGTGGTATATACATAAGTTTTTTTAAGTCTTGAATTTGAATTTTTGTTTTTTACGAAAACAATTTATTAAAAAACTGAGCTCTACTATATAATAGATGTTCACGTATGATCTATATCAAATGCAATTCGCTTGAGTTCTGTTTATGAAAAAAAAAATATTTACAATTAAAAATATATTTTCAAATTTATAATAATTGTCAAAAAAAATATTTTGATGTATTTTTAATAATTTTTGAAAATAATGTATGAATTTTTTAAAAGAAGTTATATTACAAAATTATCCTTAAAGAAGGAAATGATCTATGGATCTAAATATTTAAATACTATGAATTTGTACATTTGTAAAGATTTTATTATATAAGGTACAATCTAGAATGAAAATAATTAATTTTAAGTTATTTAAAACTTTTATTTTATTCTACCCGGCAACATACGTTTCAAAATTCGTGCTCATGATAGTGGGAATATGGATCCAATCCCCTGTCCTTCCCCTCTATAAATAGCTAAGCTCATGGTGTGTATTGTAATACAATCCAAAGGCATATTTTTGTATAGCAGTGTGAATAAGTGAAGTGGGAGTTAGTCATGCCTGGTGGTAGTAGGAATCCTCTTGTTGTTGGGCGTGTTATAGGGGATGTGTTAGACCCTTTTGAAAGTTCTATTCCTCTCAGAGTCACCTATGGTAATAGAGATGTGAGCAATGGTTGTGAGTTTAAACCTTCCTATGTTTCCAATCCACCCAGAGTGAGTGTTGGAGGAGATGACCTCAGGAACTTCTACACGCTGGTAATATAATTGCATTATTAGTTAGTTTCCATAATATATTCACATTTAGTATCATTTCTACTTTATTTTTGTTAAATTACGTTTGTTCTATTATAGGTCCTAGTGGATCCTGATTCACCTAGCCCAAGTAACCCCAATTGCAGGGAGTACCTTCATTGGTGAGTATATAAATTAGACATACCCCCCATACCATTAATTAATTGAACCAGATTTGTATGAGACTTTGGCTACTTAACGTTTTAACTTACACCCTTCTCTCAATGGACTCATATAGGTTGGTGACTGATATTCCAGCAACTACGGGGGCTACTTTCGGTGCGTAGATAGTTCATTTTACTCATTATTTGTTTAGGCTAAAAATACACATAACTTCCCTTTAATATAAATCAACTGGAAAATGAAAACCAAAAAATAAAAATAAAAATAAAATAAAACTCAACTACTAGATTCATGAACTTATCAAGCGGTATAGAGTAATATAAGTTTAATCCAATGTCTATTTACAAAATATTCCTATAGAGACAATGTGCTAGATTTGATCAATCCATAGAATCTAGAGGTCAAGTTTTGAATCATAAGATATTTGTCCACCATTAACTTATAACCACTGAAATAGTTATATTCTAATAGATATAAAATCATAAGTGTTAAAATTATTTTTATTAATACAACTTATTCTAACAAAAATTAATTTGTTAATTATTATAAACAATGTAACATATATATACACACTAACAGATTAACTTTTATATGTAAAAACTATACCAAAATATCCTAATTTATATTATTGATCAATGACATTTTTTAATTTGTGATGAACTGAAAGAAAATCTCTTTACATTTTAATCGTATGTACTTATTTGGTACATACATTCTGGATAAATTACCCTACGTACCAGACCAAACATTATAAAATGTTTTGTTTAAAAGTAACTTAATGGATAATTACTCTCCGCGATCCTTATAAAAGAATGTTAGTAATATATTATTTGACAGACTTTTTATTGTTAGTTAAAAATTGATTGAAAAGTAAAAAAGTAAGAAAGAGAAACACTAATTTAATAATAAGAAAGAGAAAAATTTATATAATTTATATAATTTTTTAGTAAATTTTAGCTAATAGCAAAAATGTGTTAAAAAAGTGTTGCTAGCATCACTTTGCCTCATAATATTCTTTCTAATCATAACTAACTCAACGCAAACAAATACAGGCATCCACCTTTTATCAAGCACATGTATAATGGATACCCATAAAAGTTACTGCAAGACATTTACTCATAAAATAAACCTAGGTTTGAATATAAATAATTATTCACAAGATTTTATAAATATGAATATAAAAAAAAATATTGTTATTCAGTCCTATTCCTACTCAAATGATATATTTATTATACTTATAATTAAAGATTCAAAACTTTAAAAATAAATTATATATATTAGTATTTATATTTTATTAATTTATCAACCAAAAATATAATAAAAGATGAAGTTAAAAAAAAGATGAAGTTCAGGTTAACCAAAATACGGGTAATAAATTTAGGTAAGACCATATAAGTAACCAAGTGAAGGTGCGGGTATTTAAGGTATCATATGGTCAGTATGGGTATTGTGGTATCTTAACCAAACTTTATTAATTATCACCCTAACTTTGTATTGAACATTTAATTATATTGTTATTTAAAATTTTTATTTCTTTTAAAAACTATTTTATAAATTTTATTTTATTAAATTTAAGATATTTTTTATAATATTTTTTAAAATTATTGTAATTTTGATTAATTCTAACTTATTTTTAAATTTAAATTTTAACATATTATAACCAGAAAGATGATGCATATTAATTTTAATGTTTTATTTGTAATTTATTTTTGTTTGATAAAATAAAATATATATTAATAATATTTGTTATTTTTGTTTATAAACTTAATTTAAATTTAAACATACTCATCCAATGTGCAAAATCTTGCTAGTTAATTATAAAAGTGAACCTTTTCATTTAGAAGATAGCGTAAAAATCGCAAGCACTCATTAACAAATGACCAAGTGCTTAATTTTTTTTAATTATATTTAACAGACTAAACTAGTAAATGATGTGGAAATGTAAATTACCTTTATGAGTATTAAGATACTTACCTTCGTCAGTGAATGTAAAATTAGTCATAAATCAATCTATTTATCACTATTTTAATGCAAAATAATATGAAAAAACAATATAAAATTTATAATTTATATGAATGATGCCATCAATTATTTCATTTCATCAAGGATTAAAAAAAATCTAGAACATATTTCCATGATTAATCTCAATCTGAGACATGAAAATCTAAATTATAAAATTTGACTTTATTTGGATTACTTGAGAAGAATGAAAGTGAATATTTAAGATTTTATTTTAATTTATCCGTTTTATTTGATCATTTTAGCTTAAATTTAATTATATTACGTACGTCTTGCTGCTCCATTACTGAACTTGTTATAATTAAATTTTAACATTAAATAGTTGTGACATGAATATATGCAAACAAAAATATATATATGGAAACTAGTGTTAATTGTGATCTTGTAAATTGTCGACAAGTATGCCTATTATAATCCGTTTTCGGCACCTATCACCATCATGTGAAGCACTACTATCATTTAGAAAACCGCTTGTCGTGCAGCAAATGGAGTATAAAAGTATTGGAATCATTTAAGTGGACCATGTTTCTTGGTATCTTGACAGACAAATAGTGTTTGATAGATAACATATTGTGCTTGAAATTAAAATATGATTCCACGAGAGGCATCAAATTCCAAATTATATACATGATGAGACGAAACAACCACATACCCCAAAAGCGAAAAGGATAAAAATCTATGATCAGAATGCTTTAAAGACGAAAATGCAATATTAAAAACGAAGAATTCTGTTAGAATATATTAATAATATCAAATAATATGTTAGTTATATCCTAAATATTTTAATTATTTCTGGATTAATTTGTTTATTTTCTTAATTTTTATTATCTCATACTTTATTTTTTATATATAGCTATGATTGTTAATATAAATAAGAGATACTACTGCTTTGTGCTTTATCATAAAAAGCATCAATCATAATATATTTAAAATCATATAATTTTAACATTAACAATCTAGACGAGTGCTTTATTAGTAGAATAGAGTTTTATGTTGTTATATCTCCAATAACTGAGGATTTGCATGGTTTGCACGTACGTAGGTAACGAGATTGTAAGTTATGAAGGGCCAAGACCAACGGTGGGGATTCATCGTTTCGTGTTTGTGTTATTCCGTCAGCAATATAGACAAAGAGTGTATGCTCCTGGATGGCGACAGAATTTCAACACAAAAGAATTTGCTGAACTTTACAATCTTGGATTGCCCGTTGCTGCTGTCTTCTTTAATTGTCAGAGGGAGACTGGCAGTGGGGGCAGAACATTTTGAAACCTTTACTATATGAAAAATACAAGCTTATTTCATACTACAGCACCTAAATAAGAAAGGTAACATACACATTATACACACAAGATTGCCTACGAATATGTAACCCAAACACTCCTCTGTAGCACTTTATGTGCACTTTATATCGATACAATAAAATACAAACCTTTTACTGATAATTTCTCTTGTTCGAATTTGTTTTATCATGTTAATTAATATTATTATTTAATAGTGAGTAAATAAAATGCTTTATTTATTTTGACTCGTCCATTATTCTTTAATCTAAACTAATTTTGACTAAGCTTTATCATTTTGTACGTTTATAGGTAGCATACTTTAAAAAGTATACAATCGATCTAAACTGTTTACCTATTTAAGTAATGTAATAAATGCAAGAATTGACATACTTTTACGATATAAAATTGTGTTCACAAAAGTCCAGTAAATATTTGGTTTAATGAAGGAAATGATTCAGTCAAAATGGAGAGCTCTCTGTTCCTTTTGTTGACACCTAGGAACACATTTCCTTGGTAGAGTCTCGTAAAGGATTTTTCACCTTTTACTTAAACTTTGTCTGAGAATTAATTTTTTTTTAAAAAGTTTATATCCTTTTTTGACAGCTTTTAAAACGTTAGGCAGTAGGTTTGGGAGCTTTTACAAACCCTTTAAACCTTCCATAAAATTTTGTTTTTAATGTTTTGTTTAAGAGTTTGAAAGGAGAGAAAAAGAAAAAGGAAAAAAAGAAGAAAAGTTAAACAAAATTATAATATATGACTTAAGAATAAATTTAAAAAAATTTAGAGTATATAAAATCTCTCCCTTACTTTTAAAAACTTATAAAAAAATTGTTTTTCATTAAATTTTTTTCTCCCTTCTCCTCCAAAATTTAACTATCAAAAAATGTAATTATCAAATAAAGTTTTAGTGTCTAGACTCTCTTCTTTGGGTTATTTCCTTGATCCTAACTAAGGATTCCAAAAATTTCTCATTTTTCAGTTGTGATACTTTCATCAAGATGTGAAGAAGGTTTTTCTTTATAAATGCAATATGCTATATATGTGAGCCGATGATAAAGAAGAGGTGAATTCAAATGTGAATAGGCAAATATTTAATGCTAGGATTTCTAATCTCAAAAGTGATGGAAGGAATACCAATTAAGTTTTTAATCTTGTTCAAGAAACTGTATAAAAAAAAATAAGGAAAGGAAAATATGCATTTAAAAAGGTGCAAAAGAAAATTATTATGGACGTTGACAAGTTGATAGGAGACATGAACATAGTTATGGTCAATTAATGCATTACATTTGGAGCCAAACATATATGCGGGCACCCGCAAATAGGCAAGATAGATAATCTTCATGCAAAAGCTTCTATGAAAATAAATGTGACATATAATAATATCTAGGGCCAGGTATGAATTTGTAACACCCTCAATTTTGTGACTCTTGTATGAGAAAATAGGAATTTTGGTGTAGGTTATCTAGCTATAGCGAGATATTTCTTGCTGTATCTCTCGTTATAGTGAGAAAGAGCGTTCAACATTAGGCATTATAATGCTTTTTCTCTGTAGTCAGAATCTCTTACTATAGCAAGGATGCTCTCGCTGTAGCTAGAATGACAAACAACAAAGGAAAATTTAGTCTGTCTTTTTTCGCTGCAGCAAAAGGAGGCCTCGCTGTAGCGAGAATCTTTTGCTACAGCGAGAATTAGCTCGTTGTAGCGAGAATATTGCGAGTCAAGGAGCATTTAAGGACTTTCAACCTAGAAAACTTATATTACAATCCAAAATCTTGACCTCCCCTTTGTCCTCTCTAATCTCTCATCCTCTTTTCACAGAAATCTTCCTCTAAACTTCAATCTTTCTTCAAATCCGGGCTTGGCAGCTCAACCATTCAGATCCAAGTAAGTTTCTTGGAGTTTTGTTCTCCAACTTCATTCTTATTTTTTCATTTTATCCGATCTAAAGTTTTGTACTTTGTGATACTCAAGAAAACCTTAACTCTTAAGACAATATTCTCTATTGAGACGTTGTGCATCTCCCTTAGTTCTCTAGGAAAACTTGATCTGAGAGACCCATTTCCAGGTAAGGAGAGTTGATCTCGAACCCTAAGTCTTATTTATGTAGTTTAATATAGAAAAGTCAATTATTTGATTCTAAGTAACAAAAGTGTAAGGTTTTTTTTGTAAAATCATGGTGTAGAAATCGGATTTCTTGTGAGAAAACCCCCCTTTTGAACCCTAACTTTGGTATTTCATTTTGGATAATAGAACCCCAATGATTCTCTAAATTGTGTTACTAAAAATAAAATTTTGGATATGAAGAACCAATAATTTAATCCAAAGATTATTTAGATAAAATTTTACAGTGAAAAGATGAGTAACTAAGTTTCTGAAGAATTTTTAAAATTTTACTATTATTTATGTATAAACAAGTAATATTGAACTTTAGGATAGACAATCTTATTAATGCTGAGAAAGTGTGTATGTTGGATTGTATGATTGGAATATCACCACTTACTACTTCGGCTTTATCTACATCGCCGTATTAACCGATGTAGAAAACTCTTTTTAACCGATGTTAAAAGTTATTTCTGTACTTGTGATTGTATGATTGGGCTGAATGCGGAGGTGTCCAACCTTCGGCACATTGTATTGATCTGTGTGGTGTGAACTTGTTTGATGATCTTCTGTGTTAGATGAATGATTGTTGATGACTGAGATATGTTAAAATAGGTGAAATTAGGTTATTGATGAAAAGTAAATGATATGACATGATGAAGGAATTATGAGAGATGTGATTATAATACGTGTATTAGATAGAGTGATGGGTGTTATTATGATGCAGGTATTGTGGTACATCGAAAGGTGTACTCATAATACATGTATTGTAATACATTAAGTTATGTAATCAAGACTTATGTATTATGACACGTTGATCTATAAGAAGGATATAGAGAAAAATGAGAATGAAATGAGAAATGCTAAGAAAGAGAAAGAAAAAGAGAAATGAAATATGTATAGATAGTCACAAAGATATACTGGAGGTGTGGAAGACAAGGGCGATTGAGAAATCTGGGAGAAATGAGGGTAGTGGATGTCTTTATATGATTGCACAAATATTAATGAAAATAGAGAGAAAAGAAACCACAAGTCTCATACTCATTTCCTGACCTAAACCCCTAACTACACCTTTACTAAAAGGGGCCGGGTCGGCACACGTGTGTATCTGTATTGTTGCAACTATCTATGCTACGAAGTTCTCAAGAGATCCCATGGGTAATGAATATGAAAGTGTAATTAATGTGAAACTGTGATGAACATAAGTAGTATAAAGATTGTATGATTATAATATATGCATTGTAACATATCGATTAATGATGTTATGATATATATGTTGTCATACATTGCGGGTGCGATTAGGACACATGTATTATGACATATTGATTGAGTATTATTGTTAATTGATGTGTTAGAAATGTATTAGTCAGTACTTTCTATACTATATAAATTTTATGTCAAATAAAGAGATTTAGTGGGGTAGGAGATACTCACCCTTACTAATATTTTAAGGTAATGAAAGTGAAAATATAAAAATGGTTAGTCCGTTCTACGATCATAATCCATTGGTATTGGAAGGAAGACTGCTCTGTAGGGACTAGAACAGTTTGAGAAATTATAATATTTTATCTTAATTACATTTCATGTTGACCAAGTTATGTAAATATTTTTTTAATGTCAAATTTTAGAATTTATAATGTTTTGGTGAATTTTGTTGTAATAAATAATTTGGAGATGTTCTTAATGATATTCTAAACATATATGTATACAATGTGAACCAAATAATTTGATGGATGTAAATTTAAGTTTTATTTATTACTTTAGAATCTTGAATTTATTCCTTTGAAAGTTTTAAATACTTTAGAATCTTATAAAATTTTCATAAGAGGAATGTATGTTTTGTTTTAATTCAATTTTTAAATCCATGAAATAGAACAAAACTATTTTATTTTCTTCCTTTATTATAAAAATTTATTTATTTACTTTTATACAAAATTGAGGATGTTACAGGATTTGTCACGACCCCTTTTTATAAAGAATAGATGACATTTTTCGCTTACCTTTCCTAATTCATTTATTTAATTTATGAGATAATATATATATATATATATATATATAATAGTAAAAAAAGTATAAAATTTTCAAAAATTGAACTTCAACATCCAATTAAACAAAATAACAAGCCTCATAGGCATTTTTATACAATACTCAAAGTTTTACATAAACTTCTACATTTACATAAGCTAATTTAGTGGAAATCAAATACAAGTGTTTAAAACATAAATTACATTCCTTGAAAAGTATAGCCCAACAGTCTAGACCTATTTCTATAACCGAGACTGACAAAAATAATTAACACTACAATTTCCCAAAAATGCCAACTTCGTCGTCCCTCAACTAGATCTCCCAGCTTGAGAAGTAGACGCATTCCCTGTACCTTCTGCTCACATACCATCGTCGATCATTGCAGCACATATACCAACACAACAAAATGCAAGGGTGAGCTTATATAATTAACAATCATAATATAGAAGGTGAATATATTTCACAACAGCTAATATATTTCACAACATTTAGCACAACAACATCAATCAATTGATGCAGCATGTTCAGCCCATTTCTAGCCCAACTAATGCAAATGCAGCAATTCAGTTCCATCTGGTTTCACAGCCTAAGTAATCCAGAGGAACTGTTTTCCGGTCTGGGAGCGACCCATCGTGATATTTAGATCCAGACACAACACAGCTCAGCATTTTAACCAGCTCTAGAATGATGATAATAAGTATGATGCAGCACAGCTAAATCAACATAATACAGCAGAATTAAGTTTATTCTCAGCCTCGACAATACAACAATGTATATATTTTCATCCAGCATTAACAGCACAACAAATTTTATTTTCAACTTCAGCAATTACAGTAAGATATGCTATTTCACCCAGCTTCA